AACTGTCTTCATAAACCTGGAGTTCAAAGGTGATATCGAAACCGAAATCCTCGAAAACCATCTTTCCAAGTGTCTGAAAAAGATATTTCACGCTACTGCCTCGAGAACCACATTCTACAGGAGACAGTTAGAGAGACGCAGACGATCCCAGTGATAGCAGTAGGCGACGTGTCGTCTGTAGATGTAATGGGACCTTTCCTCAAACGTCCAGTGGCAATCAGTATCTTCTGGTCATGACAGAATATGCCACACGATGGCTAGACGCAGTCGCGACCCCTGATCAACGCACAAAAACGGTCACAGAAGCAGTGGTTCGACATATCGTTGCAAATCACGGTGTGTCAAAAGTGATATTGACAAACCCAGGTCCGTGTTTTGAAAGCGAAGAGTTTAAAGTTCGGCTACGAGAGTTAGGTATCAAGAAAATTAGAACAACGCCATATCATCCACAAACGAACGGACTGACGGAAAGAAATACTGCACACTGAAAGAGTGGCTGGCCACAAACGGCGGTAACTGGGAGACAGAGCTTCCTCTGATTCTGCTAGCACATTGTGCGTCCGCACAAGAAACGACGAAGAAAGCACCGTTTCAGTTGATGTATGGGAGGAAACCACGACTACCGATGCATAACAAGACCTAGCCCCTCCAGCAGCATTGGATTATGAGGAGATGGCGGACGGAGCGGAAAGAAGCCATCAACAACGTAAAACGAAAACAGAAAGTGGACGCTGGGAAACTCGAACTGAGGGTAAAGTGGAAGGACCCTGCATTCGAGATCGGAGATCAAGTCAAATGTGGAGATAGGCGAAACACCGTCGGATACGTGCCAGGGTCGCGAAAACTGCTACCAAAGTGGGAAGGACCATACACGGTCACCACAAGACGGGGTCGCGTATATACCATCAAAAATGCAAACAAAGAGAAGCGGGTGAACGTCAGCGAGCTCCAGAAATGGATAAAGCGAGACAAGCCAACGATGACGCCCAGACCAAGAAGATCAAGCCGACTTCAGTCCAAACTATTTGACGGGGGGACGAGTGTGGTGAAAGCAGGTTGCTAGACAAATCGGTAGACATTAATTTACGTCAATGTTTATGTCCCCAATATTGGTCGTGAGAAAATATGAACAAGACTGATTCAACAACCAATCACAGCAGACTTTGCGTAGGCATATAGATGACCTGATATTCAAGAAACAGACACAAAGAGATGCAAGATTAACTTTCTGTGAGAAACAACCAATCAGAAGAGTGTGTTTGTTTGCTTGAATATGCTATAATAATGTACATGAAGATATATAAATACGTGTTGATTTCCTGTCTTTGATCATAGGTGCCTGCGTTCTATTTCCCGTGTAAAGTGGCATAATAAGGTGAGCAACATTGAAGTTAGGCGTCGAGTTCTAGGTAAACAGGGGAAATCAATCGACGAAGTCGTGAAGCTACATCGACTGAGATGGTTAGGACATGTGTTACGTGTGCCAAGCCATCGCCTCCCTCGACGAGCAATGTTAGCGGATATAGGGTCAGACTGGAAAAAAGCTAGCGGCGGTCAAACAAAAACTTGGCACCAGTCAATGAAATCCACAACAGTTGGTCTAAGCCACGTAGGAAGGTGTAGACTTCCAGGCTGGGGTCCTCGGGACGGTAAAAATCTATGGTTGGAAACAATTGGTGACATGGCTCAAAATCGTTCTGAGTGGCGCAGATGCATCCACTCCTTGTGACTTATGATCTCCAATGAAACTGTTTTGTATTTCTTTATTACTCCTTTGTCTCACACCTCTGCTCACTGTTTCTATTATGCTTTTCTTGTACTTTCTTCTCTTGCTTCGCGTGCTACACGGAATGTGGCGACTTGAACTTCCGCACATTTGTGCAAAGTTCTATGTCGAAAACAGATAGACAGACAGTTGATTTCCTTAATAAACGATCTGTTGCCTGGCCCCTGTCTTCTTTTGTTACAAGTCTAGTAATACGTTGAGGACGAGATACTGTTTGTGATTACCAAAATATGCATTTATCAGTTTGCTTGTTCCTATGGATCAAAATACATCAACCGTACACAACGCCAGGTCCGGTCCGTAAAAATATTTTGGAACACTATACAGTCAAGAATTTCATTAGTGCTATACTCTTGTCAACTCTAAACATCGGACACCCATACATGACAGCTTCAAAGTAATTCACAGAGCCCTGCATTATCACACAAGAGGTCTTCGGTTTATACATAGCCGAGTCAGCATCTATTCAAGATTTCAATCCAGAGCTGTGTTTTCAAGTAATGCATGGAGCAACTTGCCTTACCAAGACCACTAATTTGGTTCCATTTCACTGTTTAGTTTGGTATTATGCACTTAAAAAAGTGATATCATGTTATCCCGGTCCGGCCATTGTTCTCGCTCTTTTCCAAATGGCCGTAACTACTTTGTGATTCCTGTCATCATCGTTTATCAGTATTATTGAATTTCTCATGCAGACATCATTGTAACTCCACCATTTTGTACACTCAAATAGATCAGGTCATTTTTACACTTATTTATGTGAAACCGACTTTCGTTTCTTAATCTCCACTTGTATATTCCCTTGTAGGTTATTCTTCCTTCACACTAAGTTAAACATTTTCTAGGACATAATTTCTAGTATTTGATTGGTTTTATCAGTACGAATACGATTGCACAACTTTAAGAAAATGATTTTTCTTAAAAATGAAGAACTTAATGTCGAAGAGAATACAAAGGTGGTAGATAAATGAATTAATACAGAATTTTTACAGGGTAGCCGGATAGGAACTATGTATGAGATTATGAACCGGAGTAAATCAACAGCACCAAAAAGGAATTATATCGTTCAAATTTAAAATAAAATGAAGAGGTTTCACAAATCCTGGTGACATTACGATATAACAGTTTCAATGTAATAATACTGTTCTAGATACACGAATTAGCAGTTACAGGCACTGCGTTATTCAATGACAGTTGGTTTTGCTTGAGTACCACAGAAGATGCTCACTCAACGAAAATGTACATGTATATCGTGCCGACCAAAGTCGTTAACATGTCCTCAATAGTGAAATGCTGCAGTGCCTACATAGTTGACAGTATATTAAACACATGGCCTAAAACAGTGCAATTGCGTTATTCACACATTATTATTATAAGCAAACTGAGTACTAACATACAACTCACTTAAAATAATTTTGTAAATTAGTTCGTAGGCAGTCTGCTACAAGCTAAACTAATCAAAAGTCGGACTGTTTAGTGAGTACTCCAAAGCGCGATACACTTGACTGTCAACTAGTTGATCGCTATTCTGAACTCTAAGACAATAAGAAGTGAAAAAAGCCTTTAAACAATGAGACGGAGTTTTAACTAATCAATGCAACAACAGAGAACTGGAACCTGCTTATGCACTAGTCTAAAAGCCATACTTAATAAATATATGATTGCTAGCTGTTTGGGCCAAAGTAGGTGGAGTTCGGTTTGAAACACGAGTCAGATGTTCGAAAACAGAATTCCTGTTTACTCTTATTTTGAATAAAGTCATTAGCACTAAATAGAAATGAGGATTATTTCGTTTTACTTCAAATTGAAGTATGCGCTGATGATTTCGCCTAGTAGGGCGATGAAAGCTTCGCAAATTAACTATCCAGCTCAGAGAACACAACCAACTGAGCTACAAATCTTCTCTATCATATTTCGTTTTACTTTCCACTTACTGGAAAACAAAAGTCACGAATAATGATAATTATTTACCGAATGTCCAGATTCTTCCAAACAGCTGAACTTGATTCCGACGTCCACCTACCTATGTATGATTATTAATGTTTAGTAGTGTTTAAAAAGGTAGCTTAGATTATGCCCAATCCAACTGATTATATGCAAATCACTTTTATGGTGAGCAAACGACAATCCACACAGTTTAAACAATGTGTGATGAACAATAAGTCAACCTTTTAGCTAAAACTACAAACTAAATACATTCTGGGGATGGGTATCAGTATCAAATAATTAAATGTTGAGAAACTTAGAAACACAAGATTAACCTAATGTTTTCGTGTATTTACACGTAAATCATGAGCGAAAAGGCAGGTGAATAGCCAAAGAAATGCTAACTGTAGCTTCTTTCTAGCATAATTTTGTTAACAGTAATAATTGCTTGTGAGAATAGAATATCACTTACACATTCCAGTTGTAACTTAATGGCAGTAGTTACCCATGAAGTTTACGCGGTGTGTTCATGATACTTTGGACCAATAAATTTATGCATGAAACTTTTACAAACAAGTTTTATTCAATTAACAAGAGGGATGAAAAACGGTCTTTAAAATTTTAGTCAGTTTTCAGCGTTATTATTAATGTGAGAAGTGCAGTTATATCTGTTCGTCTTTATGCATTTGTAACCCCTGAGTTAGTTATTGTAGATAAGTAATAGGCGCATATTCAGAGCTTTCATCAAACGAAGTGATAAACATCGAATGAAACAGGCAACGCATACATTTAAGTTTATAATACTGGGTACAGTGGTATGATAAGATTCTATGAATGGTCTCATCAATGCACATGATCAACTGCTGTTATAAGCAATATCATAACTGTCACATATTTTAATAAGAAATCATAGGACAAAAGGAATCCAATACTGCAAACATTACATATGATACAACCTATTTTTAATTCTGAATGCCCGGGTTTTAACCTAATTAAAATTTGATGCTGACACAATTTCACTGTACCAAAACATGCTTTTTAAATAGACAAGCCATAACACAACATAACCAGTACAATTTCAACACTGATAAAGACGTTAATTAATAGACAAAATTACTTTATTGAAATAAATACCAACCAAATATATTAAAGACTAAAAGGAAAACACAAACAAACAAAACTTCAGATATTAATCATGAATTTTAAAAAAGCCAACAAAAAATTGTAAGATGATCGATGTACAAATATGGTCAAGTAATAAACTGTCACGATATATATATATATATATATATATATATATATATATATATATGTATCCTTACATCAACTAGTAATAAAAAGAAAGTGTGATTTTTTTGGTTGAAACACAAGTTCCATCATTTATGAGATGACAGAACAACAAAGACAAAACGAATTGAATTCATGGTAATGTGAAGAGGGTAGAAACGAAAGATTAGTGACCTCCGATTTAAGTGTCAGCACAAAGATACATCAGTCAAAAATACAAGCATATCAATCCCGTAGAGCATTTGCCATAGGATAAACATTCAAAAGTGTTACTGCAACAATGAAATCATAAACGCTGAAATACAATGCATCTCCAAAAAACAAGATTCGAACTACTAGAAAATGATGAAAAGAATGAAGAAGTAAGAGACAAATAATATTAGGGTTTTATCAAATAATAATGAACATTCTGATTTCTAAGAAAAATGCTTTGTGAATTCATTTCTCAACCGAAAGACATACAATATATTAACAAACGCAAAGATATAAAATGAGAGGACTAGAATGCAGTGGAAATTACCAGTGCGCAAACATAGGAAGTATGATCAAGCCAAATCTGTCTTGTCATCTTGGTTGTTTTTGGATTGTACTATTCTAAAGTTCCGATGGCAGCCATCATTGCAACTCCGGCGATTAAAGACACTATTTCAAGAAGACTCTGAATGAACAGTTTGAATGCACCACTTGATGCTTTCGTCGCATTATTACTGCCACTATTGGCCGCCAGTAGGTCAGGTAGCACAGACGTCATAGCAATATAGATAAAGCCACCTGCGGTAAACGGTAAAATGCGGCCAATAACAATATCATCCGTTATTTCTGGCAGCATGTCAGTATTAGGAATAACAGAACCGAATCCAACACGAGCAGCAATTAGGCTAAGATATGCACCTAAAAGTGCACCGAACGCAGTAACGAGTTGTAGAAGCATAGCCTACATAATAATAAATAAGTTATATGAAATTATTATTATCCACAGTGCAAAACTAACAAGTTGCTTATACTCCTGAAAATAAAAATACCATTTTAAAGAAATACATCACTATCCAATACAATTTTCAAAGGTGTGAAGTTGCTATTAGATGTAAATAAAAATACCGATTATGGATACAACAATTTTCACACCTGAGTAGGAAGGTGAAAGCCCTAAAACTAACAAGCTACTTGTATGAAACATCCGTGCCGTTTGCATTTTGTTTAAAAACAAGTAGTAGTAATCACTAAAATTCGATCATTACTATACAGACCTTAACAAAAAGTGATGCGGATTCAATACTTACAAAACCACCTACAGTATATATATATATATATATATATATATATGTAGATCGTGCCTTTGCATTCCGGACGGAACGTAAGGTTTCAGGTTTTGAAGTATCGGTACTAGCAGTGTTGTCTTTCAGGGACGGGTTGTTAGATCACACCCAACCTTCAACCATTTCCCGACTTACTACCAGCTAGAAAACTAGACAAGGTTTAGGAGTGCCTCAAGTAGGAATCAAATCCAGAGCACGTAAGTGACTGGTGAGCATCCTACCTCTGGATCTAGGTGGGTAGGCACTCAGGTATATGCAACTACTTTTTTCACACTAGAAACACTGGAAGGACGAAAGACAGGAGGAACTTAACACAAATCAGTTTTATGTAGTAGGTGCCCTTACCGCCAACGTTCAGTCACTCTTAAGAAATATTTTAGGATGATGCAAAAATTGACTCTTAGAAGTACGACATTTAAGCAAATGCAATTTTGACCTAAATTTCCAAAAGAACATACATTTGACGTGTAAGTGAATTGCCTGATGATGATGAGTCTACGTTCCATTCTATAAATATCATTAAATGCGCAACTCAGTATTCCAACCAAAGTAAATGCACAATACAACCTACGATTTCTCAGTACTTTGACTTTGAAGATTAAAAAACTACTGAACCCATAAGAAAACATACACGACATACCTTACGTGAAGAAAATCCTGACTGTATTAAGATTGCGTAGTCTCCAATCTCATGTGGAAGTTCATGTAGCAATACTGTGAAAGTGGTTAGGAATCCAACATTCCTACTAACCAGGAAGGATCCACCTAAATCATACATAAATATACATAAAATCCTTCGATTAACTATGGCTTTATGATAAACAATAAATGTGTAGCCAGAAGTAACAGTATTATTCTGAAACTTACCCACCCACTTATTATGTAATTTTACTAATTTGACCTTTGACCTGAAATATCTGCAGGATCATGCTACAATCTATTTACCTATATTCTGTATCCGATCTTCGTATTTATTACACTTTGTAACTTTATTAACTTGACTTTTGACCAGAAATAGTTATGGAACTTTCTCACTCATTTACCGTAAACACACGAATAAACAGACTAGTTGATGACTTCGTCGAAAAGAAAATTTTCTTCGCTGCAACCGTATTTTTTATTATTCCCTATAATAAATAATAGTGCAAATCAATTACCCCACACAAACACACTGACTGAAAATAAGGAGCTGAAAACAACCAGTCTTTTCTGAGGAATACATAGACGTATCAACAAACAAAATACCTTAATAGCATGAATTTTCATATGAACAACAACACACGCAAAATTACACGTACGAAATGCCAAGTCAAGTCCATGATTGCAACAATCATATATGATACTTACAGTTTATGAATCAGTTCTGCTTTTCACAAGGGAACAAAATAAGAAGTGGCAGTTCGATACTTGTTCATAATACCAAACTTTTTGTCACCCAGTGAACTATTCCTAACATCTATTACCAATTACGAGTTACCACACAACACCTCAAAACTATTTTGATGTGTACATTATGTATTCAGTAACGTGGTTACTACATATAACAGTAATGAATTTGCCGGAAGTGACTCACCAATGGCTAAACCATCCGTAAAATTGTGTGTAAAATCCGCTGCCAGATTTAGATATCCAGCAACTTTGAAATCAGAAGCTAGAAATAAGGAGAAAATAACAAGTTAGGAATTTTAAAGTCCCATAAAAAGAATATTTCAGTCACATATCTAATATAAGAAATGAATTATCCACGACCAATGTCTTAAACCATGAGACCTATGCAAACCTATTGTACATTAAATTATTGGGATTAAGGAAACGATAGGATTAGAAAAATAAGAAGATAATTTGACTCTGCACTGGCTCTTGAGAGCACCAAAGCCAGATACATAGAGCTTTTGTGCAAAGTTCTATGTCGAAAACAGATAGATACATCTGATAATCAATCGCCTCGCCATTCGTTTCAGACAATCTACAATCCACATAGTTGATCTTTGTCACTCAAAAATTGCAATATGATTTTGCTTTTGACACTAGTTGCAGAACTAATTTTGGAATATTAAAATCTACCGTACATTAAGTAAATGGTACAACAGAAAATTGTACTGAGCATTATCAAATATTAGTGGACATCAGAAATATCACTCATGCGAAAAATGGGATATTTTAGTGGCGAACATAACAGATTTTTTATCGGTTTTGTCATTTCGTTAAATAATACCTAACCTTAAGTTTCTAGAAGTATTTTATTCATTCGATTGCTCTAGGCATCGAGGGATGAAGGATATTTGTGTCAGGTTAGCATCGGTTGATGCGAGAGCTCAACAGATAGCTCAGACACAGCTAGATACTTTCAGAGGCATACCTTCTGTGAAACTAAGGAGAGTATACATCCTTGGCGGATACTCTGTTGAAGATACCCCACGATAAAACTGTAAAGGGGAAACGAATGCCCGCTAACACAGACTTCGGTAGATCATAGCTTTTAATGAGTCCTAAGGAAGGAATTCATAAGATACCACCATGTCAAGAAAAACAACTAGTGTTGGAGACCTACAGGTGTGTTCAAGTTTCAAGATTTGACAGAAATTAAATACCTGTTTATCATGTCCATGACTATTTCCAAGCACGTTCGCGAGTCTCAGTTAGGTTTTATGTGACTACAGACATTAAAGTTTCTCCATAAACTACTCTAATGAATAACATTTTGCTAGGAATAGATGTCGATAAACAATAAAAACCTTGACGTAACTAATCATCTGTCTGAAAATAAATTTGGAATATTCCTAAAACTTACATTTAACCTTGCTCCCACCTTTTACATCTTCACTTGAGCCTTTTTTCTTGTTTTTCCCTTTATTATCCCCATTAGTATTTGGTGTAATTTGGTGGGTATGTCCACCACCATGATCATTTCTAAAAAGCCGGATACATTTTTCGACGCACAAAAATGCGAAAATCCCACCAACAACATAAAGTCCAACAGCCGAATGTCGCTTATGATCATGTGCATGTTCATGACTATGACTATGCTCATGTGCATGCTGATGTCCATGACTGTGTTCATGAGCATGCTCCTCGTTACGTTTGTGTTCATGATTAGATTGTCCACTGTCAAGGGCATGAGGAATTAAGTGAAGAAACGCATCTCCCAGTAAACCACCAGCTGCAAATGCGAGGAGAATCTTAAGAAATCCATGATGTTTGTTTAGATCCGGTATCAGGCATAAAATAACGAACGGAGCAACACTGATGAGTAATATAGCTCCAGTAACCTCAATCCACAGTTGCTCAGGAGACTCTTTTCGTGTTTCTTGGACGATATGGGCTTTATGCCTATAAAAACAAGTTAAGACGAAAGTGCTAAAATCAGATAGAAATAGGATCACAGCTTAGTCCTTTCCGATTGCGTAAAGTCTAAACTGTTACTACCACCTTCATTAAATTCAGACAGTTCCTCTTTTGGTTCTAATCAATCAGAAACTGATTAGTTAATGACACACTAAACCTATTTGTAATTTGCAACAAAATTAACTGCTGCTGTAGCTCACTATTTTTAATATCATCCCTCAGGCTTTTCTTACTTCGAGAATTCAATATTAGTTACATCGGGAATTGCTTTAATCACCCTCGCTAGTCCCAAACAAAATGACAGCAAAATTGCAGTACCACTGGACAAACATATCGCTACATAACCGCCAACTGAGAAATAGTTAGACATAATAACATAGTGTGTGCATTGACTGAAGGGGATGGATATTAGGAGAAAATATACAAATTGTATGAATCAAGAATGTAAATTAGCTGGCTACACAATCGGTAGCGTCTGACACTTAATTGTATGTATCTCAACTGTCCTTTCAAGATCACCAAAACACACAGAGATGTGACATAGTTGGCAGAAGAGTGACCAGGACCTTAATGGGCAAATATTAATGCACGGATTATCATACTATGAACACTACAGCTGAAAAACGTACTGCTTAAGAATTCGGAGCTGAAGAGGTGTGAAATAATGTAGGATGTTCTACCCAGCTGATTAGAAGTAGACCAAAATCTTTAAAAAATTAATTAATAGCCTAGATCCATCTTCCACCAACATAATAATATTAATGGGCAAAGTTCAACATGAAATAATTATACATAATTCACTATGATTACTGACACCCAAAAACTTCAACATAGAGATGTATCAGTAACTTACTCAACATTAGCTTCTCTTGAATACTTATAGTGTGGAGGTTCATTATTATGGGCAGAAGTATGCACCCATAATTGAACCAAAACCACAAGTAATATCAACCTAGTCATGGCGCCTGATTGAAATCAGGCTTCGCAAAAGGTCACGACCTACTCAGTGAAAAAGAAAAACAACTTGAGAAAAACTAAATCTCCTTTGAATTTCGCGTAAAGTGAATTAATAAGACCACATTATAGATCAAACTTAGCAAATACTGAAATCAACTTGGCAAAAAACAATTAACTAGGTGAATTAACTTCAGCTATAAATTTACTGTAGCAGATGCTTACACCGTTATCCATAAGATAACCGATAAATTCCCACAACCGAACCATGTGGGTTCTAGTTACTGCTTGTGCTGCTTGACCACAGTGAATATTAAGAAACTGTACATTTGTTGTCAGTGAGTGGCATTAAACAATTACTAAAACTTATCAACCTACTGTAGTCATTCAGAATTCATTGATCACCTTCATTGTTCAGGTCAACTGGTAAATTCAAACGTACGTAGACAGTCACTCACGCCAATTGGCATGCTGCCGTTTTAAGTTTGATTGATAGTGTACGTACTCAAGTTAACTATGATACCTGAACATAACATGTACTTCGGAGGATGAGACTTTTGTTGAGGTTTGAATTCTCACATGTTCTCTACTAAAATGCAGCGAGTATATCGAGAGTTGGAGAGTGCATGCTTGCTTTGTCTTACAGCTGTATCTTAACTAATCGCTTGCATTCATCTCCTAAAATCCCTCCAACCAAGACAATATACTAGTATTTATTAATACTACTTCCATGAATCTTAGTGTAGGGTTATATGACACCAATTGTTTCCATTTATTGTCTAGGTTCTTTATCTCTATGAGGCTAAGAAAAGTATTTAAACCATGCTAATTAAGCTGAATTTGACTCACACATTTGATATTACATAAACCAGATCATTTAATTTATTGGGTTTCACAGGATACTCCGACCATGGACGCTCTCTATATTCCCACTCCATTAAAAGTCCTTCGCCAGTTTTCAGATGTTCCTAGTTGTGCAATATGAGTGCTACTGTTTTCCTCTCAATGAAAGATATTTACATATGTGTGCAGCATTATCAGACTAGCCCTCAATTAGCATGAATTCTATAACATGTTTTAATTCCCGCACCGTATTCTCATTTGTATTCTTTAGCCTTGACCCGTTAATTAAGCCATTTCTACTGGCACAGTGTGGTATGATTTGAAGCCCGAATGCCGGTCTCAAAGACTTAGTTTCCAGTGAACGCTACTGATTTACATCTCACCTTATTTTAGAAATGACCGTATCTTATTTATGTAGCTCTAATCCATCACTCGCTAACTGATATAAATGAATTGGATTTGTGTTCGAAAGACAATAATATCATAGCCTCGTGATTTAAACACTCCGAAAGATTTGACTACCTACGCCCACCACATCTTGGAGCTAATATTTCCTGCCTACCAACAAATGTAACTGAAGCATTCGGTGATCATACGGCAACTCTCGCTATGTGTCTGGATATCATTCATCGAAACATGAGTAATGTAGATGTTTAGTACAGTTGCAATCCTTGCGTGTTACCTTCTATTCGCACTTTGATTGGGTCTGAGCTCTCTCAAACAATTGTATAGCAACTGTCATCGGCATATCTAGATAGATGTTAATGATAGTGGGAGTAAACTTTCCTCCCGTAATTAACGTGAACATATGCAGGACAGACAGCCTTCCTTAGCTTTCCGGTTCACTGATAATAATATATTCTCATTTTTGCACATGAGGGACGCCATTTTACGGGCATCGTCAATGTGATGAATTACATGTACGGTTATTAAGCATATTTATTCATAATAACAATAATAAAATAAAATATGTACTCCTACCTATGTAGGACACACCAGTTGTACAGGCATGGATAAGCATTATTTAAAAATAATTTATATTTTCATACAAACTACATAAATTTGGTTTATAAATAAATAATAAATAAATTTATTCTCATAATACATTACAAGAGGGACTCCAGTTTACAGGCATCATCAATATAATAATTCACATATACGATTAGTAAGCATATTTAATAATAATTTAATAAAAATACATATGTATTCCTACCTATGTAGGACAAACCAGTTGTACAGGCATAGATAAGTATTATTTAAATTACATAAATTTGGTTTACTGTTAAATTACATGGTTGCTGTCATTTTTGTTTATGGTTTGTGGGAACAATATGATAACTAGTCATTCAATGGAGCATATCAAGAAATATAGAAATATTGCCTTCGGAATAACAAAAAACCCTAGTATGTTATGGATGGATTACAAATACTTGGGAAAAAATGAAGCTTGAAGTAATCCCCCATATAAATAAATAAATAAATTTATTCTCATAATACAGTACATGAGGGACGCCAGTTTGCAGGTATCATCAAACTGTTACAGAAATAGAACCATATTATTCAGTCACAATTTACAGTCGATAGCAAAATATGTTTAACATGTACGCTGGAGATTATGCATACACTTGATAAATGTTAATCCCAGTAGTATAAAACGGCCTTTTCACTTATGTACAATCATTTCTGTGCATAGTTGGAAAAATCCGCTAGATTGTCAGTGAGTGCAACACATCAGGATATACATAAGTAACAAAAAAACCAAATCTTTGGTGGTAAAATTACATGGCTGCTGACGTTTTTGCCTTTAGTTTGTGAGAAAAAGGTGATAACTAGTCATTCAACGGGGCACATCAAGAAGTTTAGAAATATTGCCTTCGCATTAACAAAAAACCCAAGTATGTTTCGGATGGATTACAAATACTTGGGAAAAAAATAAAGCTCGAAGTCGCTCCCCCATACAACTTTGGTGTGTACGGCATCGAATTTACTTTTGATATATATCCAGATTGGGTATTAATTTAAAAAAGGTGATACACTTGTATAATTTTGTCGGCATTTTCATTGTGGGTAACACCAGAAGCGAACTGTACTCAATGCAGGTTAATAATAATAGTTATCAAGGAAATTATCCCTAAGGTCCCATTGTTACGAAGACGCTCCACACCGACAAATACTATGTACTTTCTTCGACTTTAACTCCAAAACACCAGTATTGTAAGAAGGAAGATATATTATTTGTCAATCAAAGCAGAGAACAGTAAAAGCCTATAAACAAATGTTTTATACAAAATTATGAAATACTTTTATTCGATTTTGGTCGTCCTCGTCGATCTTGTACACGATCGAACCATTCGCACCTTCGAGTTGCTCAAAAATGGCCACCAGTTTCAAAAACAAACGTTCAATGTTCACCTTCATTGACAATAACAGTTTATATTTTCTTATAAGCGGGTGCTTACAAGAAACTCAAGACATTTAACGGGCACGATCAGTTGTGTTGTGAGATATTATAAATTAATACTTTTAATTGGTATAAATGTATGTTACACAACCGAAACCTGGGATGCGTCGTGGGAGAAGGTAATGGGTAATTCATGAGGCACTTGTGAGATATGGAACCAATAATGTTTGCAGATCATTTGCCGGTGTAAGTGGTCAAAAGTGTACATTCTTTACCCTCATTCAAAAATTCATGTGGAAGCAAAATGGTGTGAGAAGAAGACAAATGGCAGCAGCACAGAAGAAGGGAAATGGAGTCCTCAAGGAGTGATTTATAAATTTATATATACATATATATAGATTCCGTTTAAGTAACTATGATTATTTTGATGTACTAACTAACTAGTCCTGTTATGCTAACTTTTATATTATGTGAGAACTAATATGAATGTCTTGTGTAGAAATGTTTATCATGTACTTCCAATAACATTACCATTTATAATTGTAGTTTGTTGCAACTTACAAGTTTAATGAACTTAAAATATGTATGTAGGTTAAAAATGGGGTGTAGTAGTGAGACGCAGGAGTGAATTGTCATCTTTGAGCAGTCTGGTGACCGAGGAGATGAACACTGGAATTGTGTTTGCATCATGCACATCAGCTGGCAGTCAATTCCAAATGACTGAAAACTTATTTAAGAAGTTGTACCTAATGTAAGTTAGTTTATCATGATTTCTAAGATTGTAACTGATGACGTGGTAGGTTTAGTTATCGTTCCAGAGGAATGCAAGAGAAGATTGGTTAACTTGTAGTGAAAAATAAGGTTTAGCTTGAGACGTCTTTTCCAGAGTTGTTCTTATACTAGTCTGTCGCAACGCTCAGAGTATCCGAGACTACATTCTAAACCAAGAGTTCTTGAGGTAAATTGCCGTCGCACTCCCTCTAATCTAAGCTTGCCGTTCTGTCGCAGTCCGCCAAGAATTAACGGGCAGTATTCCAAAATCGGTCGGACACATACTTTGTATAATAAAACCCTAGTTTAACAACAAAAGAAATTGGGAGTTATGCATCCTAGGAGCCTGCTTGTTTTACATCTGGCATAATCAGTCTGTTCAGAGAACGTTAAGTTACTAGAGTATCTGATACCGAGATCTACGACTGAGTTGGGCTTGGCTAGTTTTCGCCTATTTATTTCAAGTGTTAGATCAAGATTACTGTTGCCGATACAAATCCAGCCGCATTTGTCAATGTTAAAATTTAGACAGGACTCAGCACACCACGTTGAGAGACCGTTTAGTTCAAGATGTATTTTATTTACCATATCGCTTAATTCATGTGTAGCGCGGGTAAACGACTTGAGGTCATCAGCATATAGGAATGGTTCATCCGAGGTGAAGCACTTCCAAATGCTGTTAATGTAGACTGTGAATAAAAGTGGCCCGAGGACACTGCCTGTCAGCCACGTCTCGTAAACCGTTAATGCCCAGCTCTTGCTACGCTCGGGCTCACGCTGTTCCTTGAAGTTTTTCAGAAACGCTTAGTAATAACGGACGAAAAAACCAAAACACCGATTGGCCGCTTGAGAATTCTTTATTGTAACACCAACATATAAAAAATATTTCTACTAAGGTCTGTGAACAAATATTACAATAATAAATCACAATATTACTTCTGACGGTTTATTGCTGACTTCTTTCTGAACAGCGACCGATGAGACGATGACTGTCGTATTGATGCCTCCGCGAAAATTGGGGAAGTTGGTTTTGAGCAAACAACCATGAATTGATCGTTCAATCTTCAACTACATT